TGTGCACTGAATGCACGTAAGTGTCAGCTTCATGCAATCATTGCACATTACACCGTTGTATGAATCTCTCAACTTGACGACAGTTCATTGGTTGAGATTTCACGCGATGGTATAATTTCTGGATATGCAACGCACGTTAACGGTATGAATGCAACGAGTTCTCTCATTTGAGTTTTTGGAATTTCAGGTTATGGTGGTTATAGATTACACATTGGTACTATGAAGAGAGCGGATCGTTTACGAGAGGTTATTTTGCCAGATTTTATAATATTTTATTTTAAAAATTTTTAGTTTTAAGTGTTAATTGTTTCTGTGCTATATCGTTGTTATAAATATTTGCATTTAGCGAAAGATGTTTAAGACAGCTTTAGCGGAAACTGTGATAATTCTGGTGTAACTTTATGAAAGGAAAGAGTTCGATTTCGTTTTTTAGTTGTAGGATAAATAGTTATGTTCTAATTTATGGTTTAGATGTTTGTTATCCTTTCTTTTTTCATCACCGTTATTTGTTGGCGTATAAATTCTTGGTTTTTACGGAATCTAACTTGGATATCCCTTATCAGAGGTTAGGATCGAGAAGATCGAAGATCTACGTCTAGGCATAGTAGTGTATGTGTGTTTAAAAACTTTTAGAAAAGACAAAAGATACTATAGCATAAGTTAGACGAAGTGGTTGTCGTTATGAACCAGCAAAATGATGATGTACAACGGCGCCAAGTCTGTTATTGTAATCAGAAAAGCTACTACATTATGTGAGCCGAGTGGTTCTAGTTTTGATTTGTTACTCTGTAATATATGAATTTAGATTGAAGAGGCTGATGATGTGGTTACTGAGAAATGCAAAATTTTGGCTGATTTATTGAAGAAGTCAAAATGTACTGTCGTTTATACTGGAGCCGGTATCAGCACGGTATCTTTAAAAGAATTTAATAGAGCGTTTCTTTTTTCTTTGCATGATGGCTTTTTTTCTGAGTTACAAAATTAAAAGTTGTTGGTCGAGTTAGAAAGTGTGATGTAGTAGTTTTAAACTTACGAGTAAATTGTAGTAACAGAGTACAAATAAATGTTCAGAGAGATTAGAAATACAAGCTTTCAGATTATAGTTTACTAATAAATCCGCTGAATTGTTGAGAAAGAATCTTTGATAAGATTTCTGATAACATTCCAGGCAGCATCAATACCAGATTATCGTGGTCCTAATGGTGTTTGGACCTTGGCTGAAAAAGGAATCGTATCTTTCAAGTTTGTATTCAGTATTGTGCCATTTCTTGATATTTTGTTATGCATTCTACTGTACGTACGGTATCATCTACCTAAATGTGTTACGTAACTGTAACAAATGGCTTATTTAATTTATAAACAAATGGCTTACGTAATTTGTAAAATGTGGACTGTTTTTGTTTCATTGCGCTATGTTATTTTTGCTTTCATATTACGTACAGAAGTTAAAATAGTTCCACTCACAGTTTTAATTTTAGATGTGCAAATCCAGTGGAATCAGGGCCAACTGCAAGTCATATGGTATTGAAAGAAATGTGTCGGAGTGGACTGGTGCGTCATATATTATCACAGAATTGCGATGGTCTTCATTTGCGTTCAGGTTTACCACAAAAAATGCTTTCTGAAATCCACGGGAACATGCATATTGAAGTATGCCAACATTGTGAACCACCACGGCAATATGTTCGACCTTTCGATGTCACTGAAAAAAGTCAGTTTAGGTTAGCTTTGAACAACATTTTTTTTAAATAATTTCATTCATTTCTTTGTAACTGTCTTCATATATTTTACTCGTAATTTTTTGTTTGAAATTATGCTAAGCTTTACATCGTATGCTCAGATATTGAATTTCCTTTTGTGTAGTACGAATGGGAAACTGTGGTATATTTGTTAATTCTGCCGGTTGACTCTAAATATCCTCTCTACTCTAGGCGTCATGGTACTGGCCGCATGTGTGTTGTGTGCAATAATGAATTAACAGATACAATTGTGCATTTTGGCGAGGCTGGTAAGGTACCATGGCCGTTAAACTGGAATGGAATTATTTCCTTAATTGATCGATGTGATCTCATATTGTGTATAGGAACAAGTTTAGCTGTCCTCAAAGAATATCATTTTTTGTGGCCAAAATCAAAAAGTGGCACACAGGTTCGTTGCAGTAATAATGTTATTGATCTGCATTGTTCCTCTCTCTATTATGCTTTTGTTCTATAACATTACTGTGATGTTTAGTTGGCAAGCTAAATTTTTTACAGATAGCTATTATAAATCTGCAATGGACACCAAAAGATAGGTTATCCTGCTTAAAAATTAATGCAAAATGCGACGTCGTCATGGAAAAACTGGCAGGCTTTCTCGGAATTCCAGTTAATCGTTATTGCCGGTGAATTATTGTTTATACTTAATTTATGAATATATTTTGAATGACTGCTACTTTTTGTATATTTGAATCTAACCGTGAGGTTTTAGTATTCGTGAAAACTTTGAAATGTTATAGGAACTGTGATCCGGTGCTTAATCCAAAACGAAGTGTACGTGTTTGGGAGTTAAGAGAACGTTTAACGGATTGTACTTGTCGAAATCGTATATCACGTGCAACTGTTCAACAGCAACCTTCAAAGGGTATTCCTGGATGGTGGGCGTTTGAAATTCAGAAAGCAATAAAGAGATCCTCACAAAGTTAGTTTTCTAAAATTGTTCTTAGTTGTAATTTAAAAACTGTCAGGACTCAACGTTATGCGCGTAGTTCAGTGCATTTTGTAGCATCTCGTGGAAGCTCTGGAAAACGCCATTGCTCGAACAACTTCCATCGCAATGATTTCTCAGATGCCGCTTGTGATTCAATTTCGGGAAGTTCAAGCGATACAAAGAACATCTTAGATAACACGCTGTTGTCAACAAAAGGACAAAGCAGCGAATCAGTGAATGAAAAAGAAATATTGCCAAGTAGCAGCAAAATAAATCCAAAAATTTTTACCAAAGAGAATTCTAACGATTTATCGGAAAATTCTCCTGAAACATCAGGTAAGGATGAGAATGTTGTGGATCCAGCAGTTGCAGAGTGTTTATGTAGTATTTTATTGTCGCTTAAAAAGGAGCCAAATTCGTTATCAGTAGCTTCAGAGGTGCAAAACGTGGTACATAACACCATATCCGTTTGCACATAGCTAACTATCACCTGTCACCACTTATGTAAGGATCTTCTTCTATTTTCTTAATGGTATTATGAATTTTTTGAGATATTATAATTCTTTTTTTTTGTGTTTACAAAGCACATATTGTGGTCCGGTCATGTATTATTTTTTTCTATCATCATGTTTACCGTGATATATTTTTCTTCTTAAATCCTCATACAGATTTGTATTATTTATTCGATATTATTTTAAAATGATTTGTTTCTAAAAGTTTTCTACAGATATTTTATTTGTATTTATAAATGTGATATTACTGGGCTTATTGAGTTGCTTCAGGATAACTAAAAGAATTCATGTGTTTTTCTCGTTTGTAACTTTGGAGCTTTTGAAAATTGTACCAACAAAAGGTTGACTAAAGTATATAAACAACTATTCATGCATGCAATATCTCTTTTGCCTGAATGGAACAGACATAGCGGAGTGTGATTTATTAGCATGCCTTGAAAACTTTTAAAATCTTCATTGGAGTTTATATTTTTTTCATATTTGCCATCATCATTTGCTTTTTCATGCAAATAGATCGTATATTCTGATCGTTTTCGCTTCTTTCTGATTTGTTTTGCAATAGTTGCTGTCCAAATTGCTTTCTACTTAATATTGTATTCTTCGTATTAATAGTAATAAGAATTTTTTTATTTTTTTTTTTATTAATTTTTTCATTTCTCTATTATCGTCATCTATTTCAGTGTATTTCTTCCAGTGTACTATTTATACATGCACAATTGGTATTTTTTGGGATTATTTATAAAGTTATGTTAGATTATTCTAAAAATTATCATTTCCCATCGATTGGAATTGAAATTTGACAACTGTAGAGAAATTGACATCTGATCAGATTGCATTAGACATGCAGTAAGAGCATTTCAAACATCGAACGATTTAGTTATTCGTAGTAATAAAGAATATGAGAAATATCGCAATGCAAATATTGCGCATTTGCTTTCAACAAAATACTTTGTATTTTCTTAATCGTTTGTTGGTCAAAGTGATCGTCCTATGTGATAAATAGGTAAGAATGGACACTTCTGATCATAGAATTTAGTCCGAATTCATTGATTTAAATTATGCATGAAAATATTAAGCATCAAAATTGAAATATTCACGGCATTTAACTAATTTTATTTATCCCAGATGAACGAGTCTTATTCAGTATTGTTTAAATTTTTTCATGGAATGATTCTAGATTTATAATCTGTTTCGATATCTTCGAAATGCATGTATCTATTGTAAACAATTGGAAAAATTTGCAGTAATGCTTAACAACATAAAAGATTTAACACTACCAATAGCCAGTAGAATGGAATGGATGATTTTGTGAAGAAACAAAGATTCACTTGGAACTTTAACGATATTATTTACCAAGCATTTTCAAATTTGATCGAAATATAAATGGTTTGATATTTTTGGAAAAAAGCGGTAAATTTGGAAGAAATGTTGGATATATAATGAGCGCATTTGATTTGCCTTTATGTACTTTTACAATAAGCACAAAAAATTTTTCAGATTTCAACCTAATACAGAATAAAATATGAAGAAAATTTAGTTAAGAATTCATAAAATTTCATCCTTTCTCTCTCTTCTCTCTCTCTCTCTCTCTCTCTCTCTCTCTGCTGCTTTTAAAAAATGAGGACAGTGGTGTAATTTGCAGGAGAAATTCAGAAATAAAATGAAATATTTCTTTATTGATGACAGCTGTCAAAATGAGCACATCAACAAATAAATGTTCTTCATTACAAATCGAAGCAATTTAAATGAAGAAAAATTATGGTAATGTCAACATGTGTCCGCTCGTATATCCTTATAATTAATTTGATATTTAATACCAATTATTAGGTTTAACTAAATGGTGAAAAAGGTCAAATAATGCTTTTAAATGAGGTAAAATTGCATGGGTTTAATTGTCAAATGCATCCTTTGAATAGCTAGCAATATATTTTGTAAATGCAAATAATCATAAGTAATATAAGACAAACACGTTTAAAAAAGAAAAAATTGATGTGTAAAGCAGTTTTTATGAGATGAATTAAATGCAGAATGTTGAGAATAGATAAATGAATTGATGAGATTTAAACTTCGAAGATTTTAAAATTTTAACTAACTCTCTTCCTTCCCTTTTGACTTTAAAATTAGATAGAATTAAGTTTGAAAGCACAAAAGAATTTTTATCCAACTCTTTTTTCATCATTCTTAGAAATTTTGAATGTTGAAGTTAGAAAATGGATTTCAAATCACTTCAAATTTAAAATATTTAAAAGACATTACAATCGTTTTTACACAACTTTCCTAGATCACTGATAATGTTTACATTATCAGTGATCTAGGAAAGTTGTGTAAAAAAAACTATCATCACTGATAATGTTTACAAACAATTCAGGAAAAGGAAAATAAATGATGAAGAACGAAAGTTTTAAAATGAATTATGTTTAGTTATTCGAAAAAAAAACAATACTTTGAAAAATAAATAAAATCAAACTTTGAAAATCGCACCAAAGAAAAAAACACGCAATTCTGAAAAGTTGAATTTTAAGAGAAACTAGTTAAAAAAGGAAAATAAAATTGATAGAAGTAGAACAAATGAAAAAACTTCAAGTATTTGCTTCAATTCAAAATTACTAAACTTGAAAGTTTCGTGATTGATTTCCACATAATTTTACTATACTATGCGAGTTTCATTATCTCTAACTGAATTTACCGATTTAATTGAATCGGAAATTTCATATCTTTTCTCAATCTCCTAAATGTTACAGTTATACTTGGAAAAATTACAGCTAATAATGCTATAAATTCACTCATACATGTGCTTCTCGCCTTCTTATTGACGTAATATTACTGCAAACATATTGATCCTGTAAATTATTAATATAATTTAAATTGAAAAAATATTCATGAAAAATTTTAAAAAATTAAAGAAACACCAAAAAAAAGTGTCAGCATAATAATATTTAGCCTTAAGAAAACAAAAATACAACATTTGCAAAACTAATCGATAATCTATCTTTAACCATTGTACACTTTTCAGGTATGAGATAGAAGGGGGAAGGATAGAAGCTATAATTGACTTTTGAGAAATTGAAACATTTACGCATCCCATTATTGTTATTTACCTCAACTGATGCTTCGGATGTTGCGATACGTGAAGAAAGGCCACTATCTCTTGTCGTAGCTTTGATTCTACTACGTTGCCATTCATCATTTTCTCGAGATAGTAATGTCTTGCTTGGATGCGTTCTATACGTTGTGCCACACGTGCTTCCAGCGTAATATCGATTGCGTACTATCGATTTTGCTTTATAACGTTTTTCCATCCTACAATCAGTTTGCAATGATGTTATAATAATTTTAGAACATATTATTATGTAAATTTCATGAAATTTTTGAAACTTTAACTATCAATTTCTTAATTTTCTAAAATAAAAATTAGTTTCTTCACGTATATTCCGTATACTTCATATATGTAAAATATCTCAAATGAATTGATCAATGCTTTAAAAGTAAATTTGATAAAAAGAAGCAATTACTAACATCATGAATATGATAACAAGTACAATGATAAAGATTACAGCGATACCAAGAAGACAACCAAGTACAATGGTCCAAATACGGAATGCTGGTGAGACGAGATTCTGTTAGAAAAAATTTTAAAAATTATTTAAATAATTCCCAAAAATACTGGAAAACGAAAATTCCTTTAGCGGAAAAATTTCGAAAAATAAAGCATAAATAAGCATTATGTAAAATTTTTTGTGAATGCTTACATTGAAATAAATTTAATCTTCAGACTGCAAAAAAATTTGAATTCAACAGTTGAAATAGCATAAATTAAATTTGTATTATTTCGGTAAATCTGTAAGTATTTTTTGTTGCTTTTAGCAATTTTATACATATAAAAAATGAATCAATGTTGGAAGGTATACATTTGTAAGCTAATTAAAAATTAACTAACATAAATAATTGGATCAATGTTTGATGTATTACATTTTGTCTGATTTGTTATTAAACCATATGGACACGGTGTGCAATCAATTATCTAAATTATTATCAAATTAAATTTAAAAAAAAATTTTTTTTTACCACAATCATAATAAAAAATGAATTAAAGTAAAAAAATTAATAATAAATGTTAAAAATAATCGTTAAAATTTTTGATAATAACCTTCATTGGATCGGTTGCATATTTACAGGAATGTTGCATTCCTGTAATGATTGACATGCATGCTGCATGATAATTATTGGATGATACTGGCATGCATTTTAAATCACAATTTGAACCATATTTATTATCAATACATTGAACATAATATGAAAGTTGTAAACTGAAATTTACCATTCTTCAAATTGTAATGTTAGAATTGGAAAGAAATTTAAATTTGAAATTCACATAATTATAAAATTTCCTAAATAATATATGATCAAATTATATTGTATCCTATTCAAATAGTCATTTCATTTAAAATTTGGGTAAATTTTTAAATTTAATTTTCGATGAACTAAAAAAAAATTATTACGTTACTATTACAATGTAATAATCCATATTACGCTTTAACAAATTATTATAATATATGTGTGCGTTTGTATTATTT